TTGTGGTGAGGACCAATTTTGAAAATGAGGAAGTTAATATTGCTACTGGAGCAACATGGAACAACAACAAAGAAAAGAGTTTAGAGACAGGAAAGGTGGAAATCAAGAATTATAACAAAACTGAACACTGGAACTGAAACTTTCACATGAGAAATTAAAATATGACTTAAGCCAGATGGACGCTCTAGGAGGAATTAGGAGACCACATTCTGAAACATAAGCTAGTCAATTTGGAAATAAAAAATTAATATAAGTAACATCTGGAAATTTTCAGAATTAACTGAAAGATGGTACTAAGAAAAAAAAATATTTATTGGAATGGTAGCTCTTGTTATGAACATTCAGGTAGATTTAGATGCTCAAATACACATCTTTCAGTTTGTAGGACTTGCAAGGGAGGGCTGGTGAGGTGAAAGCATGAGGTGACCAGCAGCCTGATTGTCACCAAACTAAAAACTCTTCCAGGAAGTGGGTGAGACCTGTGACCAAACTAGAGTTTATACAGAGAAGTGAACTGTAGGAATCATATCAAAAGGGTTAAAAATCATCACGCCTAGAAGAAACTCTAAGACTTACAGTCTAAAGAGATGTTCAGCTGTCTTTTAGGTAAGCAGAAGACATAGATTAGCAGACTTGCTATACTAGTTAAAATTTACTGAGACTCAGAGGAAATCCAGACTATTCCAGATAACATAATGTAAATGCCCACTAGAACTGCATCCAGAAATACTTCCTGAGAAAGCTCTGGTAACACTCTCTGTGGTCCATCTCTCAGTGTGCTGCAGAGTTTAAACCATGCAAGAGCATAAATTATCCTGGTCTGGCATCATACCGTATTGGCACTATGGAACTAGCCATCAATGTGACCCAACAGCTTTATGGGGAAAAGAAAAAGAAGAAACCCCAACAGAAATGAAAGTTGTTTTGTAGATGTGCTTTTCAGTGATGATTTCTGAGATAAGCTGGCAGCAGACTTGTTCTGAGCACTGAACTGGTGTAAGAAAAAACAGCTGCAGGTCAGGCACATAGGTGGTTGCTGCCATAAACCTTAGAAATTCGTCTGTGAGTCTAATATGCACACTTGATCCTAATCTAGCTCATGACATTGTGAATGATTTAAAAAGTGATAGCTTTCCTTCATCAGAGAAAGGAAAATAGCAATGCTACAGCAATAAAGGCATGCAGTACAATTAAATACTGACATGCAGGGGGAAAAGAAGCAGCTAGGAAAAGGATTGTTGTGGGCTGGCCAAGGCACGCAATTTCAAATATTTATTGAGGTCTTTCTCCAATGACAGAAAGCAAGGAAAATATTCTAAAGGTCTGAGAGAGTTCCTAATATACTTGATCCCCAAGAAACTCCCCTTGGAAACTGATAGCGAATGTTAGGCTATTGAGTGTGGAATAACTTCTGTGAAATTCATCAGAATTATTAAACTAGACATGCTAAAAGGCTATAGAATAGGGAATCCAATATTCCATCACCTACTTTGGCAAAAATAGAGATAATAACTGGGAAAGGTGAATCCATCCAAGAACTGGAAAGCTGGAAATTTAGCAAGAAGTCTTGATAGCCAAGTTAGCACATGAGCTAATAATTTACTTGGATTTTATTATTGCCAATGGCTGCCTAATAAATGCCAGAAACTGTGTTTTAGAAAGCAAGCTTGTAGAAATCCCCCTTCTAAAAGTGGCTCAGGTTTGCAGATGGTAAGCGATAGTCTTTTAACTTACATTATAATTCTAGAGTTCAAAATTCTAATAGTGTTCTACACTCCCTCTTCAGACAAGGAAATGTGAAAAATGTTTGAAACCTGCTTCATGGTGATCCCAGTTGCTGTTGTTAAAGAAATTATTTGTTGCTGCACAATTTTTTTTCTGGTAGGGAACAAGCAGTGCAATGGAAAATTCATTGCAAATTATGAATGAACAGATGTGGTAGATAATCCTAAATAAATCATTGGAGGATGAACTCACAGGATTTCCTCTGCATTTTCTCCAATTAGTATTGAGTGTGAAAAACTGGAATGACCCAAAAGATTTCATAGTCAGCAATGAGTTCTTAGGAGCAAAGGCACAAATTACACCACACGACAAAAGACTCGTAACAAAACTGAATGATACTGGTAAGCACATACACCGCTAAGGAGGAAGACGGCGTAATCAGTCTTGCATAACAATAAATCTTCATAAAAGGTTTTGCATTCATTAGCTGTTGTTTTAGATACCAAAGAAAGCATAAGTTCATTTCCAAGAGTGGAGATTGGGTGCCAGTGGAAATGAAGCCAAAGGAATAAGGAGAAAACTCAGTACCTCTATTACCATAGTATCACTGACTTTGTGGCAATTTCTATATGGAGGGAGTTGTATATTTCCTACTTTCAAAAGATCTATGGCTGCTTTATCTCTTTCTTAGCCTGTTTCCTGTGTTCATGTCTGGAAAATATATAGAGCAGGAACTGAAGTACTTCCATGTAAGCTTAAGGTAGCCGCAGGAAACTGAAGGAAAGACAATGATTGCCTCCTTGTCAGGTGACTCCCATAACCCAGCAGTGCTGTCACTCACCTTTGCAGAGAATATTGCATGTACATCCATTCCAAGTTACCTGCTGTAAGAATCTCAGCTTCAAGTCACAGAAAATGTGCAAGGGCCTCCTAAAACTGGAGGAGCCAATAACTTGTGAGGGCACTAGAAGCACAACAGGTTGGTGGCCTGAGTGCAGGTCCAGCTCAGAAGCTGGCAATCAGTACTTGCAACAGTTTTCCAGATCCTTTTCCTGTAAGAACTAAATGCACTGAAACTAAAAGAAGTTCCAGAGACTCATTATTGCCGTTACGGTATTATTATGATATTGTTTATTTCTGTTAGATTTGGGGCCATAGTGAGATACAAGCACAACAAGAATGTCTTGGCAAATCTGGAAAGCTGCATCTGAACTGTGGGCTGAGAGAACACATACTAAATATAACCACTCCAAGTAAGACCAAGTACCACTGTGTCCACCACCACACTAACTGGTTTGTGTTGGAAAAAAACATCAGGTAGGTTTGTCAGGAAGGAGAGAGAATGTGATCCAATGGACTCTGCACACCCGCTCTGAACAATGAGGGAACTGTCATGGTGTCATTGCCCTGAAGCTCAGACAGTGTCACACCTTCCAGTAATCCACAGAGCATCCACCAGCCTCTATCAGTCAATGCTTGCTGATATAATCACAGAAAGGGGTCTAAGCTAGTTATTTGGTGAGATGGCTTATAGAAGAAGAGACAAGCCTAAATCTCATCTTTTCTCATGTCTGATTTATAGGACAGCTACCAGCAAAAGTCCAAACCAGATCCTTTCTATTTAGTTGAAGCAAATGATCACTTAGAATATTACTGCACTCCAAAAGGGAAACAAAATTGATTAGGACTGCTTGAACTAGACAAATCCAACATAATCTAATCCTGAACAGGCTCACACTGTTGTAAAGGAGAATCTGAGGAAAACATTTGACTAAGTGAAGGAGCATATATGAAAAAAGGCCAGATGGGAAAACTTCAAAAAGAAGGGCTGTTTTTATTAAATGGTCTAAGAAAAAGGATGAGAGAGAAAAACTGAGTAAATCTCAATCATTTGTATGGTATGTATAAAATTAAACAGCCCATATGTAAAGAACAAGTTCAGTTGCCTACACAAATTCTGATTTCCTTGTAAGTAGAACTGGTAGAATTTTCAACCTATTGGGTAGAATGGCTAGCATCTCCAAATTTTGACTCCCTCCAAAAGAACTGATGTTTTATATTTTAACTCTGAAGCAAATAAGAGTAAAACTGTTTTCAAGTTTTCTGCTAAATTAAAACTTTATGAATTGTAAAAGTATGCTTCCAATTTTGAAAATCCATTCAAAAATACCTATTTGTCATTTTAGTATTATTTTTACTTCATGTATACTATGGAACAGATTACAACCTCTAGTTATCCACAGTAGCAGAGGTCTGATTCAAATGGTTAGGTTCTACTCCTATAATTTATATGTTCAAGTAATATAAAAATATTGAAAAGAAACCTTCAATAAAATCCAACATGCCATTTGGGTTCAATTATCTGATATTACATTTATTTCTGAAATTATACGTTCTGTAACAGAACTTTTTCCCATAGAATTTTTTTCTGGACTGAACTTGCTTTTATTTTTAAACATTTTAAATGCTCTCTTCATTTAGTGCTTTTTCAAAACTGTTGGAAAAAAAAGATTTTCCTTTACCAGACTTGTAACACAGTTCTGAAAACTTCACTGGGAATGTCACTAAAATCCAAACCAGTCTTCAGAGATTCAGAGAAAGGATCTCCATCCATCAGAAAGTTTGATCAGGCAGTGAATGAAAAAAACTCAAAAGTTATTTAGATTGGAGTAAGGGGTTTTTTTTTCTTTTTTTTTTTTTTTTTTTTTTTTTAATTGGCAAAGGGAAAATAGCCTGCTGAAGCCATGTCATCTGTGATTTGGTATGTTATTTATTTTCTTTTAATCCTAGTTGAAGTATCAGCATTTCCAGTACATTAGCTTGATTGGCAGAGGTGTTGTATGACTTGGGATAAACCCCAGTAAAACTTTTTGTTGCTATCTGAGATGCTCCAAGTTCTGAAGGAGTTCCCTTCAACTGAAAACATCCGTGCATTAGGAACATCACATGCCTATATTCCTTAACATCACAGCAAGTTAAAATTTCAGAGGGACAGACAGCAACATTCTTTAGTGCTTGTGCCTGGGCCTGACTTCATTTTAATCTCAGTAACTGATCTGAAAGAAACCCTAAGCCATGAGAAATAATACTCAACTAATTGAGTAAAAAGAGTATTATGATTTTCACAAGTAGCAGGCATGACAAAAGGTAGTTTATAAAAGACTGGAGGACCACACCACATTACCATAGGCAGAACTATCTTAAGATAACAGGAAATACTATTTGAAATTCAACACTTCTATGAATCATACAGATATTCCACATTTTTATCTTACCATTTTGTACTCTTTCCAGCTTTTTTGAAAATCTAGACTCCCATCTTCTCGGTGCTGTATAACTGTCCAACCTCCTCCAGCAATTTCCATATTGCAAAAGACCTATGCAGAAAAAAAAAAAAAAAAAAAAACCAACCTGCATTGTAAACCTGTGGTCTTAGAGGGAAAAAATATTTGGGAATAATTGAACTAAGGAAACTTATTTTCCTATGGATTCATGCCCTATGTCCTTGATGGTATCCTCAACTGTTTGACTGCAACCAGACCTCTCCTTGTGTTCAGTGCAATTCTCCCAGTAATGTCACCTGCTCTTTCAGCACACTACCCAAGAATCCCATCCTCCTCCTCCACATCCTCAGCTTTCCTCTTCACATTCTCTCCAAGTTCCTTTTCTATTTTCTTTGCAGTGCCCCTGAAACCACTCCCTCCATGTTAACAAATGGGTATTTAATTCAGTGATAATGATTTCTATAGCTTTTAACAGTGTCACTCTGTTTAAGAAAGAATCTTCAGGCATTCTTACGGCAAATACTCATTCAAGGAGTCCAAAATGCAGCACAGATGAGATTATTCTGTTTTGATTTGTATCAATATGTGTTGTTACCTACAGTATGCCAGGCAGTGCTCCAAATGAGAAATAGCTGACCTCAGCCTAAACTGCCTTACAATTGGCAAAGGACATAGACAGGGACAGGCTTGTCTGTGGGACAAGCTAAGAAGCTATGACCTATACTGAACAAGTAAGATCATACACTGCTATAATTGCACTAATAAAATTCTAACTTAAAAACCGATATTCTGTATAGTAAGGAAAATTTAATAACTTAACAATTTTGCTGAAGCTTGATGTTAGCATATTGTGTCAACTGAAATCTGCAATGATCTTAATCTATATAATGATCAAAAATTGATATTTTTCATTTATTTTTCATGCTTCTTCCACTATCTTTTCAAAAATATAGAAGATAAATTATGCAAAATGCAAATGTTGCTTATTTTTTGGGGGTATGTAGTAAGTGACAGTAATAATTTTTGTTCCTATTCTTGTATGACACTTGATTTTAAAGTGCTACTTGTTGAAGAAAATCTTGCTGTTTTTCATTCTTGTGTAGTCATCCATGTCGTATTGGCACTGCAGCTATTCTAAATTTCATTTGTCTGTGCTCTTGAACTGTTATAGCCCTCTTATTAAGCAAGATGTCAGAGGGTTCAAGAGGTGTCACTCATGAGCATAGCTTTTGGCATTTACAGCAACAAGAGTCAATCCATTCAGCACTGGTCAGTAATTTAAAGCTTTAAATTTTTTTGCCAAATTGAAGGTTACTAGCCGATTGAGCTAAATAAAAATTCATCCCTCAGTTGACTAGAGAACCATATTCTACCCTCACACAATGTACTTCCAAATCTTTCCTACTCCTAAGTGCTGTCACGGTAATCCTGTGCAAGTGCTTTTGGTTTAATTTGCTCCAGGCACGCTGAGTGAAGTCCCTGTGTAGGTACAGGAAGGAAACAGAATGCTGAACAGTGCAAACGTGTGAACTTGATTTAAGGCGACCACAGGAAAACTCATAATTTGCTAGACAAACATTTTGGCCCTATTCCTCCATCAGGGAAGATATTGTGAGTCAAAACATTTATCTACAGGATTTAATTTCTTTAGTCTGATTTACACTGAGAATTTCTAAATGATGGATTTATTTCCTTATAAGTAAATTCAAGCTACCATGAATTCACTGCCAATTTTTAAAGCATTAAATCCTCAGCTGTATTGACTACTCATTTTAAAGACACACACAAACAAATGATGGGGTTCTCATACTAGAGCATAATAAAATACCTATGAAAAAACATTGAGGTTTTCTGAATGACATAGTAAATTAAAAGAGAAAAGTGCACAGTAGAAGATTTACCAGCAGCACATTATTCACTAGCCATCATTGTGTGGTCTGGCACTTTCTACAGTGGCAGACACAAACACCTGCTGCATTAACAGGAGTGCCAAGCCGATTATAGATGTTCACTGTGCATAGCTCTAGCCAACAAAGTCCTGGGCTGGCTTCTGTCCCAGACAAGGTCAAGGCACTTGGCCATTAAACACCTTTTAACACATTCTGATATTTAACCCTCTACCAGAAAAGAAAAGGATGAAGATAAGTAACTTTGAATTTGTATGCATCTCTAAATTCTGGGTTTATTATCAATAAAATAACCAGATTTAGATTAAAAATGCATCGAAAGTGTCACATTTTGCCCTTCCTTAAATGCATGGGTACAAATACTCAAGCTCCTGAAAGGTTATGTATGGCATTATTCATACATATTTTAGCTTTATGGACTAAATTATCATAAACTTCATGATAATCATTTAGAGGTAAACCCAATGTTAAACAAAAGGAGGGGGATTACCACATACTGAATTTTAAGTGCTTGCACACTAACACATCACAAGTCTATACTGTTTGCATGGACCAATAAGCTCCAGATAAGCTATATATGAATGTAAAAATAGTAAAAAATTAGAACTAACAGCATTTATGTATATAACAAAGGGATATATTCTATTGAAAGTCAGGATTCTAGTAAGTATCCCTTAGGAAATATAAAATGAAATTAAGGTGTATTTTTGAGATCTGAAGTATAAAACTATTATAAATGAGACAGTTGCCAGTGGCTGCAAGTATTACAGAAGGTAACAAACTATTAGGCCTCTTAAGACATATCAGATTTGCACATAGCATTCTGGAAATCCAGATAACTAAGGTGGCTTTAATCAAGCAGGTATGTCTCCATGGAGTACCTAATGGGATATTAGCTTACGTGCCAGAGCAATCTAACTGTGCCAGCATGGTGCTACCTCGGGGCTAATTAGTCCTGGCACAGGGCTGTGGTGATGGGATTTTGAAGCTACCTCTGCACAGCAGTGCCTTGCAGACTGTTAATACAACCCTAATGTCCGAAAAAAAAATCTGTTAAAGCAATCACATTCTTCACTTAACGTGAAAGTGCCTGGGATGAGCTCTTGCTGTGTCATAGCTAGGGCAAGGCAGAAACACGTGGTACTAGAAACACCCTCAACACACAAGCGTGTGTGAACACGCACAGACAGTAACCCATATCTTCTCCCTAAAATAGGAAAAAATAACGCAATGATGTCAGCTGAGTTGTGCTGCTTGTATTGATGGATAGCAGTGTCTGAGAAGAGAAAACACAGAATGGATTTCATAGTGTTACTGTCCTTACATTACCGATGAACGGAGCATAAGGTAAATTCACCAGAAGCATCAGTGTTACACTGCTGTCAGATAACAGTTGTTTTTCACTGCAACCCAGCTTCCCGGGATTGTTTATGAACATTAATAAGGCTAAGAATAGCCACTGCCCATTTGTACATGCAATTTGGACTTTGATGTTACATCTCTGCTTTGAGTGGAACAGATTCTGTAGAACTGCTTTTGTGGTTGTCCTGTTTGGTAATGCTTAAAGGGATCTCTGTATTTTATGTCATGTCAATTATTTTTCCATTCACATTCATCAGAGTTATACTGATCTTTGCCCATACCACTCTGTCAGTCCAATTCTACTCATGGTTTAATGAATTCTAATTCTGTAATGAATGATAACATGTTGACATTTACAAGCTTCCAAAAGCCTCTAATAAAACCAAATTCAGGTTGAAATAAGTTTTGCATATCTTAATAATATCAAAAAATGGCTACAGACAGTAACATCAGTAATATTTGTTATGTGCTTTTCTGTTTGCAGATTCACCATTTTATTGCAATAAGAATAAATTCACCAGACAGATGTGGTTCCCTCCTTCCTTTTTGGCCCACTTTCTGGACACTACTGTATTTTCCTCCCCCAGGTAATCAGCCTTTAGCCTTGTTGGGGGCTGCTCCCAATACTGCCCTATCAGAGGGCCAGCCAACATTCCTCCACACGTAAACTGGGCTTATGTTATTCTCTCATATATCTAGCTTCAGCTGACTCAGGAACCTTTGCAACAAGAGACTTGCAAAAAACCAGTCATCTTTACAGACTAATATTTAATTTTAATCAAAAAAAAGCTCCCATTCATTTTTTTTTTTTTTATTTTTTTGAGAAGGACAGGATTACACATGCTTCATCATTAGAAACAGTGCTAATATTCAGCATGTTATGTTCTGTACGGCCATTCTTCCCTGGTCCCTACATGAGAAGCAGGACTTTTGCAAATCTTTATCCTTAAAAACTATTCATTCCACTCTTTATTTCCCTGTGCTACCAGATAATCCTCCCACTATCATCTTCCTCATTATCGTACTTTACTAATTCTCGTATAATCTTTATCACAGATTTATTTGCATCCATAGTCTCATTCAACTTGCCAAGTAGGAGGAATTGAGTTAATTATTGAGTATATGTTGGAACTTAGGAAAGATTCTCTATCAGCAAGAAGAAGATCTTGTGGAATAATACAGTTTACAATTTTGTTCAGTCTATTGTATTCTTATCAAGAGGTTTATTTATAACGCCATAACATTTTGCAGAATGAGAGCATCAACAAAGGCTCAAAATGCCTCTTTTAAGGCCAGAGCAACATTATATTAACAAGCAAGAAAATAAAACAAGTATTTACTTTACCTTTTTAGGATCTGACACATTGTTAATATAAATTGTGTAGACCCCACTTTTGTTTAAACCAGATTGGTATATATCTGCACAGTCTCTGAAAGGCTTTTCTTCTTCCTTTTTTACACTCTTCAGTAAAACTACAAAACAAAACAAAAAAAAGTGATAAGTTACAACAGTGATCTTAAGCATTTCTTTATCAAGTCCACTTTTGCACACTAGTTTCCTTTTAAAAATACACAGTAATAACTGTACTACAGTTTTTACATAGTGTGTTTGGTAAGTGCTGTTAAAGAATTAGTAGGAAACTTTCAGGCAGAAGGTAGAGTAGGCACTGGCAGAAGTCATGATGCAAGTAACAAAACAGAGCATCCCATCTACTGCGAGGTGAACACAGCACATTCCTTCTGTGTGCTAAGGTCTGTTCAACTGCAGGTGTTGCTTCTGACTCAAGCTGTATCTGAGAGGTTGCCAAAGAATGCCCCAGAGATGGCACATGGAGGAGGAAAACCTTTTCAGTGCTGTGATTTGACACAGATGCTCACCTAAGACAGCAACGTAGGACCCTGTAAGGAGAAATCTTGAGCCCTTTCTCCATGAGGCGCAGCTCTTTGACCAGCCTAGGGACTTGGGGTAAGGGAGCTGTTTGCTTAAGGTTTTTTTGTTGTTTTTGTTTTTGGTTGGTTTTTTTTTTTTTTTTTTTGTTGGGTTGGTTGTTGTTTTGTTTTGTTCTTCAGAAAAATTTAGTATTTTTCATATCTACACACATATATACAGTTAGTGGGGGGAAAAAAAAAGTGCCACTGAAGTCAGTTGTTTAGAGTTATGATTTATTGAATTTTTTTTTGGCTTGGAACAGGAAAATTATTACTGTCAGAACACCAGTGCACATCTTGATCTTGTATATTGCAGACGGACCACGTATAAGAATCTGAGCTGAAAAATCAGGAGGGCAAAATGTTTGAAGATCTCAGTCTTGAACAACCAGGAGATTCTCTGTAGAAGGAGTAACATCTGAGAGTGTTCCTTCACTTTCACAAACAAAAGTAGCATGGCCTCACACGATACTGAAGGATATGACTTCATTCTAACAACACATACTTTAAGCACATCATTATTCCCACAGAAATCCATCAGTCAGTCTACTCGCATTCTTAAAGTTAAATGTGTTCTTAAGTGCTGTGTAGGGCCTGGGCCAGCACTTTATTAATCCCTACAATAAGGAAACAATATTTAAGTCCTCCAGACACACTTATTGTCTGGTGACAGACACATCTTTTTCATTTTTGGCTTGAAAGTGTGAGTCGTAGGTACTAAAGGGACCATGCGTTATTGATTCTCAGTGAAGTGGCCGGTGCTGAAAAACAGCATGTGGGACTATCCAGGCTATAAGAAGGCGTCACAATAGTGCCAAGGCTTTGTAGCTTGATATACTATCTCCCCTTTGAACACCTCAAAGCAGTATTCTACAATAGAAAATTCCTACAACTGGCATTAATACCACTTCACATATGGGGAAACTGAGGAAGAGAAAGGTTAAATGTTCTACCTCAATGATTTTGTGAAAAGGTGAAAACAGGAAAATAGTGAAAAATCCAGTCTTGAACTGTAAGACTATCCTGCTTTCTAGGTAGGCATTTTACACATGTGTCATCATATTTTTTTTTCCCCTTATAGGTGTTTTATTTTGTTTTTTTAAAGTTTGATTTTAATAAACTCCCCTTATTTCTCATTTTTTATGTATTCCTGCATATATAATTTTTATCCAACACCGTCAATAAAAATAAAACCTGGTTCATAGTACTTGCATATGAACTTCAACTGGAAAAACAATGGCTATGAAACTTGGCCATGATTGGAAAAGCTGGTAACACAGTAGACAGCACACTTCCCCATCAGGTGGCAGGGAATTAGGTCCTCAGCAAAGTATGTATCAGCAGTGCACTCTCAAAAGTGTGATATTTTTAGGTAAGATGTAGACCTGAGGCTTTCACAATTTGTGTTAATTGACGTTTTCATGGTACTTTCCTGTAAGCAGATGGTATTAGTATCAGTGGCCAAAGTCCAACTTGAATAATGACTTAAGGCTGGAGCCAAAGCCTAGAGGAGTTAAAGTAAAGCCTCTCATTGATTTCAGGGGGCTTTAGGTTAGATCCATCCTTCCTAGCCTGAATTTCTCCAATGCTGTTGTTTCAACTGCAGATATCAGTTTCCCTTCTCTAAAAAACATATTTAGTTGTTGCAGAGGCAGAGTGTTCATTTCCTTGAGTCTTTAAACATTTATATTTTAATATCTATACATAAAGAGATTATTTCTACCTCTATTTAACCATTAAACACATTGAACACCACTTGGAAATAACTACTTACAAGTCAATCAAGGAAATTTTAATTTGGTTTCTTTTTAACTGAAAGTTAGACCAAAAAAAAAAAAAAAATCATTAGTATACCCTAAAGTTCAAATTATCTACATTTTAAACAAGGTAAGATTTCAGTTTCACAGTAATTAGAATTAAATTTGAAAATCAGTTTTCTAGGGACATAGATCTCTAGGAAGCATATATAGAATTTTTTTTTCCCCCTCATGCTTAAAAAACAGGAAAAAAACTTAATAAAACTGCTATGAGTTTAAGAGACAAAGATGACAAATAGATGCCACAGATAAGCCTAATTCCTTTCATTCTTTCTCTCAGCATCAGACGCCTGAGATACCCGAGATCATAGACAGCAGATACGCTGATTTTCTATGGGCTAAGCAACCTAATACCCTTCTTCTGCAGCAGTGGATTTTTTTCAGTGAACCACTGCAGCCAGGAGAAGATGGCTTTCCTTGGGTGCACCTCATCCCTCTCCCAGGAGCTGGTGCTCCGTGTGAAGGAGCTGAACAATCACAGACTGCAGCACAGTATATTAAGCATGACCAGCACAAAGTTTAGTTTTTCTTAATACATCAGACTGTAATTTGCAAGAACAGCTCAAAGTTATCAGAAAATTAATGCTCAGGAATTTTACTGGTAATGTTCTTTAAGGGTAAAATATGTTTTTTCTAAGGTTTACTGTTGTTTTTCTAACTTAATATTCCATACAATTTCCAAATCACTCCTACCTACTATAGCTCCAGACTGTTTTTTCTGTAACATTACATAGACCTTGAATCCTTTATATATTAAGTGAAGTTCCTGAATGATGCATGAACATATGGTAGATATGTAAAGAATATTTTTGAAAAGTAACAAGACTCAAAGAAAGTAGTTCTAAAACAAATATGTAGCCATTGCATTTCTGTGTTTAGCTTCAAGATCTTAATTGACTTTACACAGATTTCTAGTGTTAAGTTTAGCTATTTTCAAATACCATGTTTATGCACCTAAAGAAAAAGATAAGTCTTTGTCAAGCAAAGTAATATTTCTTAAACCTGAATGCCTAGCAAAAATCTGGACCCCTGGAAAGTTTTTTTGATTGCCTTTTCTGGATGAATAAACTGGTGATGAAGTCATGCTCCTTTGAAGCAATGATGCCTATGTGGAAAATCCTGCTTTCCTGAACAGAAGGAGAATTAACAGAGAAATGAGTTCTTTCATTGCTCTTCTAAAAGTCTTCCGGCTAGTTTTTAGCCCAATAACTTTCTCCCTGGGCTACGCTACCTCCATTTCCCTACTTGATGAATTATTTCTTTCAGTTATCAGTCTTTCAGCTGTTTCTATTCCTTGATGTCCTGGATGATGATTCCAGTGCAGGCAACATAGCAAATACCATTGCTAACTGCCCAGAGCTGTTCCCATGTAGAGGCAATAGTTCTGGCAGTGCAACTACTCTCTGGCCCTGTGGAGGAACAGGAACCCAAATCCATGAGTTTCTGCTAACTGAACTGCCAGGGCTCAGCAGCTGTTCTGCTGCTCCTACTAGCAGGGTATTAACCCTGCATAGAAAGCTGGGGTCAGCACCTGAGGTTGTAGTCTCTTCACTTCTCTTAGAAAGAGTTACTGGTGCTTGAAAGTGAGAGAGCTCAGATATGCAGGGGCCTTTTCCCAGAACAATATCCAGGCAAATCCCTTACCTGGTTGTTAGTTGTTTGTGTCTCTGTGTAGGAGGAAACTATTTTTCTACTGTCAGTTATGAAAATAAGTCAGTAGTAAATGAACTTAATGGTTCCTAACAACTATCACAAATTAAGGCTACCTGCTTCTCTGCCTGGGTTTAAAAAAATACAAACTGACTACTAACAACAAATAGCGTTTGAAATATTTAGTAATCCAAAATTCTCCTCTAGGTTTATGACATTTAAAACAAACAATATCTTTTTTCCTAGCTGTATGAAAATTATCTAATCTCATAATCTACTAGAAAAAAATTAAAAATAATGTACTTGATTTTTTAAATTGAAATTTGTTTGCTTTTGAGAAAATGGTTCTCATTGCTTTTCAAGCCTCTGACAGATATTTGGTGTATAAATAGTGCATTTTGTCTTCAAGCAATGAAAAATGTTAAATTGTAGTTCATTATGTTGACTGAATCAATAAAATCACATTCATATTTACTAAACTATTTAAGATTTGAACTGCCGTTTTTGTGAAAACAATTGAAACTGAGTTAATCACAAGAGTCTTATGTCTCTCAGTGATACTGCCAGCAAATGAAAGGCAGCTGTTGGTTTTTTTGCATAAGAGTAACTTATTTGGACAGATAAGCAGATACTTCTGTAGTGTCTTAGTGAATTATTATATTTTCATAGTTTCATCTTTTATGTACATGAATCTAATTTTCTTATAGGACTTACTAATCACTATACATACCAAAAGACATTTTAAAAAATTCTTCATGTTTTTTAAGCCAGAAGGGAGACTTCTCTCTCCATATCTTATCAGCAAATATAATTGACCTAAATTTTAGCTGCTCTGTCAAAGGCATCCAAGATGAAAATTTTTGTCCCCAGATGAGCAGCTTCGAAAAAAGCAAGGAGAAGGTAGTAAATCGATGGGTTTTGCCTACAGCTGTAGCATTCCAGGACAGGGTCATTCAAGGTCTGCCAAATGGCAGTTTCCATTTAGATTCAGACTGCAAATACATTTTGCTTTGATCTTGTCATGGTTCCAGACACATGGTGGAGAATGCTACATTTCTATAAGAAGCCCTGCATCTC